GAACCGGTGGCTGGCACCCGACAGGGAACTAATCCAGGAGTGGGGAATCTTCTGTCCACCACATGAAACTTTCCATCTCCTTCCCTGTCTACTGACGGAATTCTTTGCTTTTTATTTAAAATGAATGAAACCGCTTTTCCGGTTATATTTCGGAGCCTCCCCCAGTAAATTAGGTCTGATTTTAGAGTTGTTGCAGCCTGTCCCTCGTCCTGCCATGCCGTCCGCTCCCGTTGCTCGCTGCGGTGATTGCTGAGCAGTGTGACGTTTCCCTTGCGCGTCGAGGAGTGGCGTGGCCCTGGACGAGCTCAGTACGGCTGGTACAGGCCTAACTTGCAGAGACACTATTTACATCGCAGCCTTCTCGGGGCAGCAGTCAGGTTTCCACGGGCCATACGTGCCGCTAAATCGTGTTGGCGCATGAAAAGAAGGAGCGCTGAGACACGAGAAGTTGGCACGTCCCGCTCTGAAGGAGTGGGGAATCTTCTGTCCACCACATGAAACTTTCCATCTCCTTCCCTGTCTACTGACGGAATTCTTTGCTTTTTATTTAAAATGAATGAAACCGCTTTTCCGGTTATATTTCGGAGCCTCCCCCAGTAAATTAGGTCCGATTTTAGAGTTGTCGCAGCCTGTCCCTCGTCCTGCCATGCCGTCCGCTCCCGTTGCTCGCTGCGGTGATTGCTGAGCAGTGTGACGTTTCCCTTGCGCGTCGAGGAGTGGCGTGGCCCTGGACGAGCTCAGTACGGCTGGTACAGGCCTAACTTGCAGAGACACTATTTACATCGCAGCCTTCTCGGGGCAGCAGTCAAGTTTCCACGGGCCATACGTGCCACTAAATCGTGTTGGCGCATGAAAAGAAGGAGCGCTGAGACACGAGAAGTTGGCACGTCCCGCTCTGAATTGTGCTCTCGGTATTCAAGAGCCGACAGTTGGGCCACCTCTACCAGATTGACTCAACCAATGCCGAAAAGACCGGCACTGCGCTGATCTTCCCCCGCTCCCAGCTTCCAGCGTGCAGTTGCCTATTGCTCTTCCATAGCAGAGAAACGCCCTTGTAATTTATCCGCGCGGGCTTCCAGCAGTTAGGGGATCGGGACACCTCTGGTTAGGTCCTGGCGTTTGAAGGCTGCTCTTTCTGAACCAGGATAAAATAAACCCAAAACATTACGTTTTCAGAAGGGGTAATGTTATGAATTGGCTCTGTTGCCATTTTTTCCTTTTCTTAGTTGCTATTTATTTTATATTTGCCCTATAAAAACACTTGGAAGCTCTGCAAAGAAATAAAATCTTGGCTTTTTCTCAGAGGACGGTTCTGAGAGGTAACGCAGCCTTTTCGCTTGATCAGAAGCAAAAGGAATTGAGCACGTGGACTGACTGAAAGGACAATAACGATCCCTTCCCCTTTAACAGCAGGATGCTAGTGATGGTATTGCCTCTGATCTGACTTGACTTCACAGCTGGTTCATCCAGCAAGCATCGTGCCCCAGAGGAGCAAGAATATTATATAACCTGCTCTGCCAGCAGAGACTTCTCTCCAGTGAGACCGGACTCTGCATTGGTTCTGAAAGGAGAATTACAGAACAATAGTTGGTCTCCCTTCTATGCCCAGGAAAAAAAAAAGTCCCTAAGGGAATGGGAGGAGGAAAGAAAAAAAAAAACCCAAAAAAAACCCAACGAGAAAATCAAAGTGCAGCAAACATCAACTCATCCAGGCAGCTCCCGCCACCGAGAGAGGAGCTTTTCACTTCGTGTTTGTGCACAGAGGCGTCTGTTTGCGCTGGGTCTCCTGGATGCTCCCAGGGGAGCGTGGTGGCACCGGCCAACACATAAATAAAGTTCTGCTCCCCCCGCAAGAATGCTTCAGCCGCAGAGCCTCCTCCCAGTCTGCAGCCAGCGGTGGCTTTGGCCGGTGGCTCAGCAGACGGTCTGAAAGTGCCTCCGATTGCCAAGGCCGGGTGTATGCACAGTTCACGTTGCCTGGAGCCTCTCTGGGAAGGCAGCATTGTCTGCCGCGAGGATCCAGGAAGGGAAGGAGGGGAGCGAGAGCCAGAATTCCTGGGCTCCTCACCCGGCAATAAACCTCATGCAGTCTCGGATGAATCACTTCCATGCTGCTTCTCCTCGTTAATCCCCCCTTGCGGAGCTGTACCTAGCTCTGGGGAAGAGCCAGAGCCCTCCTGCCTGCCGGGTCGAAGGCGGCGCGGAAGAGGAGCTTTCCTCTCCGAGCGCGTGGCCTGGCTCCTCGGGGGCCGCGTGTCCACCGTTCCCCGGTGCAGCGGGAGGCGCCGGACTTCCCAGGACTGGGACCGTCTTGCTGCCGCCATCTCCACTCGCCGGTGTTCGCGCGCCCTCCTTGCCCGGTAAGCGACCCAAAGCCTTCCTGCTCGCCCACCGGGAAGGACCGTCCCTGCCTCAGCTGATGTGAGAGTTTGTTCAGAACCCCCCAGGTTTTAAAGGTCAAATCCTCCGGATGGTTTGGTACCCGGGACGTTACCAAGGTTTTCTCGAATCCCCTCGGCTGGTACGCCGTGTCCGTCGGCGTGCGTCCCCGGACCGTGGGTGAGCGTTTACGCTCTCACAAAGAGCTGAAGGAGCCCCAGGGGTCGAGTCAGCACCAGATCTGGAAGCTGCTGGGATTTCTGTGTGGTTGCGCTCAGTCTCCTCCGTTCTCACGCCTGTCTCCACAAGGCAGCTTGGACTCTGCAATCTCCTACCCTCCGGGCAGCAGCAGAGTCTCCTTTGTGTATATAAAGTTCAGTTTCCTCCAGCCCCCACAGTTCTCTTAAGGGATTGAGAAGAGCCTCCTGCTTTAAATGGAAGAAATAAGAATCTGATAGTTAAAGGGATTCTGTAAATACTTTGTTTAAGCCCGTGGGCTCGGTGCATGGCCATGTGGGTGACCTGGATTCGACTTTACTCCATCGTCATCTTCCTCCGGCCTGCCAGGACCAGCGCTACGGGAGCAGGTAGTGGGTGCGATCGGCTGAGGAGTGGCCGTCCCCAGCCGGAGAGTGCCGGGGAGCCTCCCCAGGGAAATCCCTCTCGCTCCCGGCTGCTGGCGATGGCTTAAAGTGGGAGGAAACTTTCCAGTTTGATCATTTAAAGACCGGCTCTCCAAACGGGCGACTTTTCACTGAGGCTGAGGGTGTCCCGGCAGCAGTTCTCCCTCGAACAGAGGGTACAGCTGGCGTCGCGAGGTGGGACGACCGCTCGGACACTTGGCCGAGGGAGGAAGCGTGCAGGATCTGGGTGGACAAGTTCATCGGGAGGTAGCAGAGGGAGGAGAGGGAGAGGTTTCCCCGTCCTTCCCTCTCCCGGTCCCCGCAGGGCTGTAGCTTGCTGGCAGAGGAGGGAGCGGAGCGGTCGCCGTCGTCTCGGGGAGTGTTTGATTTGTGGCATTCCACAGATCATTAGAGCAGCCGGGAATGTAGGTCAGGGCTGGCGCATCCCCTCGCCAGCCTCCGCTCCTGATGCTGCAGGAGGAAGGAAAGGTAGCGGCGGGGAGGGGAGCACGGGGCTTTGCTGCAGCGCCCGCCCCCCGGCGGGGGGGCCCCCCCGCTGGCCCGGCTGGCCCTGCGCCCCTCCATCGTCCAGCTTTGGTGGGCTTCTTGAGCACGGTTTCTCCGGCTCCTGCACTCTCTCTGCTCTTGTCTGGGCCAGGAACGCTGTGGGGCAGCTGCTCCCGGCAGTGCCAGCCCTCGGCTGTGGGACCTTTCCCCGGTCCCTGGCATCGCTCACGTCCGCTCCCCCGATTTCACACGAGCTTTCTCAGGGTTCTCGGTGCCCAAACGCCACCCCACGGGTGTCTGCGTGTTCGTCCCCTCCCTGCATTTGCCGCGATTCCCGCAGCCTCTTCGGCGGTTGAGGGAAGGGGAAGAGGCAGAGCCGCCTGCAGGGAGCCTGGCCCGAGCCGGGGCAGCCAGGGCTGCCGGCGAGGCAGCGATCAACGTGCCTGGGGCAGGGGTGGGGGTTTTCAGGCAGCGCCATCCTCTTCGGTTTCTTTTTTCTGCCTTTAGATAGTTGATGGATCCCAGGTCTTGTAGCAAAGATGAAAACTTGCGGTGAAGCAATGGCTTCTCTAGCGAGCCGAGATTTACTGACTGTCCAAGAGACTCGTGTTAGGCTCTCTGTGCCAGTGGATTTTGAGCCTTTACTGATTCAGAGAGTCAAAATTTGGTGTCTTTGCTTCCTCTGCGGTACTTTAAAAGCACGAGTGGTTTTTCTTTCCCCCTCTGCCTTTGAATCCAGGGCACTAAACGTCTTTTTCTTCAGTCAGTCACCTTACAAGGCGGGATGCAGAGCAGTAATCCTCGAGGTGTGCAAACAAGCCGTCCAACCCATAACCTCGTGTGATCCGTGTTTGATGTCTGTTCTTGAGTAGTCAACAAAATAAGAAGATGCACGTTTATCGCAAACAGATCACTTAGCGCATCACGGTATTTCTTTTAGGCGTAAGTCTTGCCTAAGCTGTGCTCCCAACTTATTTAACTTAAGAGGTTTTTTCCTCCATTGACTGTTTTATCCCTTCTGCCTCCTCGTAGCAAACTCTATCAAGGTGGAGATGTACAGCGATGAGGAAGCCAGCCGGCTGCTGTCACAGGACGACCGGATGCTCGAGAAGGAGGACAGCGTGATCGTGGAGGACTCGCTCTCGGAGCCCCTGGGCTACTGCGACGGGACGGGCCAGGAGCCGCACTCCCCCGGGGGCATTCGGCTGCCCAACGGCAAGCTGAAATGCGACATCTGCGGGATGGTGTGCATCGGCCCCAACGTGCTGATGGTGCACAAGCGCAGCCACACTGGTGAGTGGCAGCCCCGAGGCCAGCGTTGCTGTCGGCTGCCGGGGCAGGATGGGCTGGAGGGAAGCAAATTTCTGAAGCCGGGTGGCAAGCCGTGTGTTGGCTGGTGGGCACAGACGGGTGTCAGGTCCAAGGTGCTGGCCCCGGTGATGGCGGCCAGAAGACGCCAGTGAGGAAAGTTCCAGGAAAGTGCGTGTAGCTGGTCTTTCCTCATCACTGTCCAACCTCCGGCAGCGGGCCTGTCACTCCCCAGGTTGGAGGTCGCATCCAGAGCACTACGTTTGGTAGTTAACCTTGGGGCTTTCCCTCTCAAACCTGTTCAGCGCTGCTGAGCCTGTGAATGCTTCTCATCTCCGGGGCTGTTGATTCGAGAGCTGCTCCTCTGCAGACTCGGAAAATGCTTTTAAGCAGGAGTTTCACCCACTGCTCCGGTTTTGCAGGAGAAAGGCCATTCCACTGCAACCAGTGCGGAGCCTCCTTCACCCAGAAGGGAAACCTCCTGCGTCACATCAAACTGCACTCTGGCGAGAAGCCCTTCAAATGTCCCTTCTGCAACTACGCCTGCCGCAGGAGGGACGCGCTCACCGGCCACCTGCGAACACACTCCGGTGGGTAGCTCTGGCCGGCCACGGGACGGGAAGGGAGGAGGAGGCAGGGAGGGAACACACGGTGATGGTACGAAACCCGGGATTTGAGCCCAGCTTCCAAAAGCGCCAGCCTCGCGCTCTGAACCGACAGCAGCCAAACTTGCTCTCGTATCGGCTTCCGCGGTCGCTACCCTGCTGCCGCGGTGCAGAGCCGACCTGCCGAAGGCAGAGCGTGTGCCTGGGGGGGGGTTGTGTCAGTGTCTGGTTAATGGTCTGGGAACTCCGCTGACCGGAGGGGTGCCTGCGGGGCTTTGTGCCACTGTGTTCCAGTCGTTCCGGGGGGGCGTTACTGCATCTCTTTATAAGAAAGATAAACGTTTAATAGATTTTATTGAGTCAAGATAGGTCCCACCCTTGGGTGTGCCCTGCCCCAGTGAAAATGAGCGCTGAGGGGTTTTGTGTGTTGTTTTGACATTGTCCTTTTTAAATATGACATTTGAGATGTGGTTTTCACCCTCCGGTTCCATGATGTAACAGCTGGCGGGGGCCATGGGTGGGAGTGAAGTACGCCAGCCGGCCCCCTGCTTTGTGATCGTTTTCCCTTGATTTGCGTACCAGCGTGTTTCTGTGGTGCTGCCGGGGCTTTTAAAGTTCACGCAGATGGCTTTGAACACCTGTGAGACTAACCTTTCGAGTGCTGCATGGAAACGAGTGTCGTGTGCTTCCTTGGAGGAAGAAACCTGTCCCCTGAAGAGCCTGTTCTCATCACAGCCTTGCCCAGGAGCCCAAAAACCTGCTCCCCTCTCGCAGCCTGGCCCAAGAGCCCCAGTTCTCTTTAGGTTTCTGCCCTGTGCCCTTCTCAGTGGGAGGGTGCGATGCTCCGGGTTTAAGCTCCCGTCTTGCTGTGGACGAATCTTCCCACTTTGCTGTTTCTTTCGGGAGTTTGTCGTCTCTCCCCCGCACACACATCTGAGGCTTTCTGGGAGATGCCGGAGGGGAATCTGGGCGGTTGGACCCCCGGAGCAAGGTGCCAAGCCTGGAACGGGGCTGTTGGTTCTCGCCTGGCGCCTGCGCGGGAGGAGGTTTGGGGGTTTGCAGGAGCTTCCCATCCATTCTATTTTGTCTCTGGATGTCCCCGCTGCCAAGGGACAGGGCTGCTTCTCAGTGTAAAACTTCTTTGGTCTCTTGTCTGGTTCTCCAGCCTGGCCAGAATATGGCAGCGGGTGGCGTTTCTGATACGGAGGTGATCAGGAAAGAGTCAGTTTTGCCCTGGGGAAGGAGGTGAGGTTGGCGGCCTCGGGCTTTGCCAGTTAATGGGAAGAAATGCCAAAGAAATCCTTTCCCCACAATCTTTCCTTATCTCTAAGGGGGGGGAAGCAAGAAGGCAGTAGCTGGAGGTAAAAACCCTCCTGTCACTAACTAGAGAGCAAAGAGCGTGTGCGTCTCCTCCTGCCCCGCTCGGAGGGTGAGGAAAGCCAGGCTCCGGTGGCAGCCCGGCTCCCCATGAAGCACCGAAGCACCGGAGCGGCTGCTCGGTCCATCTGAGCCACGGCCGCTCCGCCTCAAGGCCTTCAGCTCTCCCGACGAGTCCTTCAGTCTGGAGCGATCAGCATCATCCGTCTTCCTCCCCTCCGTCCCCCGCCGCTCCCAGCTGGGGCCCCACGGCGCACGCGCA